GCTCTGGACTCCAAGTCCTTCGGGACCAGAGGCCCTCTGGACGACCAGAGCCTCTGGTTGTATAGACCAGAGCTCTGGACTCCAAGTCCTTCGGGACCAGAGGCCCTCTGGACGACCAAAGCCTCTGGTTGTACTGCACTCTGGGCAAAATTCTGGCAGATTTTTGAGTTAACAGTCTAATTCACAAATAAGCGATTCTTTCTGTTTTGTTTCGTCTAATATTTGTATTTTTTTTATAAAATATATAATTATAAGCTTTGGTATAATCTCACTAAGCCTTGTTGCTTATTTTTTTAGAATAAATTTTCTTTTCAGGAAGGTCGGTAACTGTCCAAGGGAAAGATAAAACAGTTTAGATCTGCTTGTAGGATTCCACATCCTGTATATCTTTTTGGTACTTGTTGTGCATATATCGTTTTGAGTTGTATCTATGTATATAATACTTTTGGGTAGATATATTTGTATTTTTGGACCCGACTTATAGTACCGAAAATCGTCGGTTACAAGCTTCGTTGTTTTATTTTTGGTGGAAATCTATAACATATATCCGTATTTGCTTGGAGATTGTTTTATGAAAAATCTTTTGGATAAATAGTTTCTTTTTATTAAGAATTAGCGTAACCGATGTTACAGAGATACTGTATTTTATTGAAATGAAAAATATGAATCCAAAAGACGACAACCAAACATGTAATACATATAATATATATCCAAAATCCGTACCATTATAGTACCAAATTTACATCGTCATTCCCATCAGTCAGATAAAATTATTATTTGTTTTATATAAATTCTTTTTAAAAAAACAAGTTATAATTATAAAATATTTTAATAATATAATACCTGATTAAATCTATAAAATAAAGGATTTAAGGTAAATATAAATTATTTTTAATTTTATTTGTGTATTTTAAAAAGGTTATTTTTAAAGGAATAATTTGGAGGGCCTCGTGCGTTATGTTACTATAAATAACGGTATTAATTAATAAGATTGTGAGAGGTGGGTTGAGTTGCCGTGGTTTGACCGTACGGATATGGACGAGGAATGGATAATACTTGCCACGTGGATATCCTTTGTCAAAATGGTTACGTTTTTCCTTTTAATTTAGAATAATAACAACTTAATATAAAAAAAATAAAAAAATAAAAATAAAAATAAAAAGTATTATATTTTGTGTTAATTTCCTCGTTTTATTTTTATTAAAAAAAACAATTATTTATTCGTACTTGGTAGCCGCTAACGACCACGTGGTGTAGTTTTAATGCTTAAGTAGTTGTTGTGTTTTTGAAGTATTCGTATCGTACTTTTCTTCTCTCATTTTGGCGATGCAAGGTCTATTACGTGACGCTGACATCAAACTATAACTCTTACAAAATCAAATCAAACTTTTAGAGGTCCAAAATGCTTTCATTGTCTACAAACAACCCAAATTAAAGTATTTTATATATATATATATATATATATATATATATATATATATATATAATGGAACGAGAACTATAAGAATCACTTTCAGTCATAATTAGATTTATATATAACTAGAAGAATATTTACATAATGCAACAAGATATATCTTGATTTTAATATTTTATTTTATTTTTTATCTCAGTCAATGTTATAATATGATCTTATGTGATTTTGAAAAAAAACGATGATTTTTTATTTTTTAATAAAATATAAATTTGAAGATATCATAAAAATTTGACAAAAATATATCGATATTTGTATCAAATTAACTATTTAAAATTCCTCATTTTTTGTGTAATTTTCAATTAAAATTTTTTATTATAATTTAATTTAGGTTCAATAACGAAGTAATTTATATTTGGTTTAATAATATAATTTTCTTATAAATATAATAATTTAACTATTTTGTTAGAAGTAGATGGTTATCTTAATTATATTTTAGATTTTTTATATTTTAAAAGGAGATGTTTATACTCTATTTGATTATGTTTATGCGCAGTTAGTTAAAAGAATTCAAAAATGAAGCTTTAATAAGTTGTACTTACGCAAAATCACTTGTAATATTGAATTTTAAGTAATATGCATCAATAAGCAGAACTTCATGCATAAAAAACGGTTTTTGAGAGTTTTTGTCAAATGCTTTATAATATAGTATACATAATTATAATAAAATTATAAATTTCTATTTCAATGGAATTTGACGAACTTTGACTTCATATGCTATTTCATCTCATTAAATCAGACCCAAGATAATTTTTATGTCTTTTTCACCTCAAATATGATTTTCATCTGTATGTTGTTTCACCTCATGAAATCGAACACAATATTCATCTATAATATATTTCACTCCATGAAATCAAATACAATTCCTATCCATATGTTATTTCATCTCATGAAAACAAACACAATTTTCGTCTATATGTTATTTCACCTGATGAAATCAAACACAATTTTGGAAAACAAAAAACCTCAAATCTGTTAACAGACTTCTACTCTTGAAGGGGGGTGTGGCTGGTTCCTTAGATGGTGGCTTCAACACTATTGCAAAGAACGATTCGAGCAATAGATGAGATGCCCTCCGGAATATGAGCAAAAATTCGATTTTAGGTTCAAGAAAACCCAAAATTCATAAAATCGGTTATAGAATCAGAAAAACAAGATTAGAAGGATGAAAGGAACCCCAAATTGAATCCAAATACTAAACTAAAATCAGATTTACCTTACCGAATGAAACCTAGACCAAAAAATTGATTTGCAGGTGTATTCACCTTCCAGCGTTGCCAAGTAGAACCCACTTGAAGGCAATCGAAGGTTGCGGTTATGAGATGGAGGACGACAGCGGAGAATTAAGTTCAGAGGCAGTGGAAGACGACAGATCCATAAGCGAGGAGCTTTGTGGGAGTGGATGGATGTTGGGGATATGCAACGCTAGACCGGGACCAGGACCGGGACCGGTTATGGCCGGTTTTGAAAAAGTTTGGGACCGATTAGGACCGGCCCGAGAACGGTTTTTAGCCATCACTAGCTGGGATCATGGAGTCGGCGGGTGGGCCGATGAGGCCCATTTGCTTAACTTTTAATTGGATTTAAATTCCTAAGTATGCCCTTTGAGTTTCAAACTTAGTCCATAACAAACTATAAATTTCTAAATTATTGTGAAATTGTTAACGTCTTTTATGTCCATAGATTAAAATCAATAAATTTATTGGTATTTCATATAATTATTTGAGAACTTATTAAATTGTAATAACCTTGAGAACTACTGCATCATTGGTATTTCATATGATTCTTTTTTTTCATTTAAGCTTCTAATTTAGAATATTGATTAACATATATTCGTTTCTTAGTGTGAACTTTTTTAGTCTATTTATGAAAGAAAAGTTACACATAAAAAAGTTTCACACTGTGAACCGAAAACATATTAAACAAACACATTGTAAAACAACTATATGTTCATCAATACATTAAATGTTAGCCTTAAATGGAAAAATTTATGAAACAGTAACTTAATGTAAAAGTTCTCATGATTATCACAATATGCAAGGTTCTCAAATGATTAATCTTATATAAGGCTAAACAAATAAGAACTACAAAAGGATTATAAACAAATGAGAACTAATCAAAAAAAATATTTTTTATGTTAATCTTTTTACGATCAAAGGCTAATATTTAAGGTATTGTTTTACAGTGTGATAATATCACATATATATATATATATATATATATATGTGTGTGTGTGTGTGTGTGTGCGCGCTTTAACTTGTATTATTCATTTCACTATGTGAGTTCAAAAAAAAGTTTCACATGTATTTGTTTCATCATGTGAAATATTTTACCGTGCACTTTTCCTTTTACTACGTGGACTCAAAAAAGTTTCACATGTATTTTTTTTCCACAATGTGAAGACAAACATATGTGCATAATATATTAAATCATAATTTTTGATGAAAAATTATGTACAAAGTTATTTTTATATCAGTTCTCACGAATTTGTAATTTTTCACGGTTCTTTTGGATTACCATCACACACACACACACACACACACATATATATATGACAAGTTCAGTTGTGAACCTAACTTTTGTTATATCGTAGACATATTCATGAGATATTTATCATGAATTGTGTAAAAAAAATTCATGTTCATTATTAATGATGAATGGCAACAAATGGACACACGTGTTTTAATTTGATCTCGTTTGCTCTTTGGCTCACAACAACCGGAAGTTGTGCTAGCAATTGTACTATTCTCTTTTTCTATTTGTATGTATGTCTATATATACATATAGAGAGGTTAGATTCACGTGAGAACAAACTGTCTTTGTGAGATCCATAAAACTACAAAATAACACTAAAACTTTACTGTAAAACATTGTGAAATGACAAAAATCTTCAAACCTTCACAACAAAAACAATATGAAAGTTTACCTTTATAATGTGTTATAAATATTAATGTTACTTTTAAGTAGTCTCATGGATCTCATATATAAAATGACTAAAGCAACAACCGTATAAAATTTGAGGTTCAAAGAATCTATACATAATAGATATGTATCAATCAATGTGGGCTTTTTTCGATCCATAGATTTTAGATGGTGTATATATCAATGCATATATATATATATATATATATATATATGTGTGTGTGTGTTTTGTGCATTATGATATATGATTCTACATGTACAAATGTATGTGGATGTATGTTAGAAGCCTTGGGAGTAAAGTAACCATGACACATATAAGGATTGATGATGTCGGCAAAGATAAAATAGTAGGTGGATTATAACATCCCACGACACCACCTCAATTCATTCAAACATAAACCGACAGATTTGCATCATTTCTTATACCAAGTCAAATCTTGCACGTACGTACATACATACCGTGTGAACATATTTAATCTACATTCAATCCTATTTTCATTAATTACTATTTATATCAGATATTGCACATATACATATATCACATATATATATATATATACACACACACACACCGTCCGTCCTGTAGCAATGGCGGCTCAACTCCTGGTTATAAAACCCTCTGCTTGATGTTAACACCAAAAAGGTTTCTTTCAATTCAATCCTCAATCGAACTTCATTCTTTTTGTCCTAATTATACCCACCCACCCTGGATTTTTCTCTGTTATTTCATGTGGCTTATAAAGGTGGCGAACCCAACAGATTCCGGTGATTTTGTCAGCTTCCGTTCTAGTAAGAAGCACCGTGAAGATGGAGGAGCACCGCCATCACCGGAAATTAGCTTCTCAAAGGATCACTATAGCTTTTCCGATGAGATGTCTGTTATGGTCACGGCTTTAACTCATGTCATTTCTGGACACACATCTTCTGCCATCTCATCTCCATCCTTTCCTGCTGATCGTTCACCTTCTTCTGCTTATTCTTCTTCCAGCTCCGGTTCCTTTAAGAGACTTCGTGATCAAGATGAGACTACTTTCGTAGTCAAAGAAGAAAAAGAAGAAGAAGCTCCATCCTCCACCACCACCGCCGCCGATGCAAACCCATACAACAATGGTGGAGAGATGAGGCGGAGATATAGAGGGGTACGACAACGACCATGGGGAAAATGGGCAGCTGAGATAAGGGATCCACACAAAGCAGCAAGAGTTTGGTTAGGTACCTTCGAAACAGCCGAGGCCGCCGCCAGAGCTTACGATGAAGCTGCTCTTAGATTCCGTGGAAACAGAGCAAAACTCAATTTCCCTGAAAACGTCGTAATGTTGCCACCTCATCCCATCACCATTAATCCCAATTCTCCGACGACCCAATCGATCACCGGTCATCAACCATCACCACCTCTGCAACCACGGCACTTCCAGATACCTGCCGTCGTAACCGATTACCGGCGATACTCTCAACTTTCTCGGAATTCCCTTGTTCAGCAGCAGCAAACAGAAATGTCTAATCCATCATCTTTAGAATCCCAATCATTCGTCTCTAATTCAAATTCATCGTCGACTCTTCGTCCCCAGTTGTATCCAAATCAGGCATTGCATTATCACTTTGGTTACACTAATGAAGAGAGGAGCACAGATTTTGAGGCAGCTCCACCGTCGTCATGGCCGGGTTCTAGAGATCATTCATAGTTCCAATCTCAATAAGTTCTGAACAACTCCAATTGTTTCTTTTTCTGCATAATAATGGCGTACACGATATATCTGAAGCGAAGATGATGATAGAAAGAAAGTAGTGGAAAGCATGTGATGCGGACGTCCGCCTTCAACCTTCATTTGCTTTGAGATAGAAATTGGCGTTTTCTTGTTTTTGTTTTACGTGACACATTATTTGATTGTGTACATTTATGTTTCTTTGTTTCTGTTAACCAAACCAATTACAATAAGGAATACAAGTAAAGAGAAAATTGATTTTCTTTTACTAAATCAACTTCAATTTGATGATATTTGAAAGAGGAATACTACAAAAGTAGCAGGGTTTTTTCGGTAGTAAAAGTATATTCGTGCAATGGAATGAAAAACCCTGCTACTTTAACGGATCTTCGATGGATTTCCACTCGAAATCTATCGTATTTTTTTAATTTTCTAATATTCTTGAATAAATTAAATTAAAAACCAGATAATCATATATATTTTATTTATATATAGTAAAAGTATATTCGTGTAATGGAATGAAATAAATTTCTATTTCATCTCTTTCAATTTTTATTTTGTGAATCTATGTGGTTTCGAAACGGACTTGTATTAATTATCAGTTTTATAAAATATTTTTGCCACATTAGTAAGACTCCCGTTACCTTATGTTTGAATGCGATATTTATCTATAGGTTATGAGTTAATTCTACAAAATTCAAGCATATTAATAAGCTGTAGGTATATAATCTTGGGGTTGTTATCCATATCCATGCTCGCTTATATGTTGATATGCCATCTTATTTCTTACCTCCTGCTTCTCTACCTGTCGCACCATAATAATAAGTTGTAAATTTATATAATATATTAAAATTACATATCAATATTCTCACATCTAATATACTTAGGGGTTGTTTACTAGCTACTGACCAGACTGACTCGGTCATTAAATATGACTAAGTCAGCAGTTAGCGTGTTTACCAAATCATGGATTTGACCGAGATCTTGCTGAGATGCTGACCTTAGATCTTACCGAGACAGCACCAAAATAATGCTTAACCGGGTCAGATTTTGTTTTTCCAATGAATCCCCCCCTCTCTTGCGACTATGTTGTCACCCCTAGCCATCCTCCCTCCTCCTCCTCCCTTCTGTCGCCACTCTCTACCCTTTTCAATTTTCATGCGACCATGTTGTTTGCAATCACAGCCTTCCTCTTTTTTTCTTGAAACCCACCGGTTCTTCCGCCGTTGATGGAGGTGGCTCCCACCGTTGATGGTATTTGATGGAATGGAATTTAACATTTTCATAATTTCAAAAATACCCTTAATCCCAAATACACCCTAATCTCTTCAAGCATCTGACACCCTTTCTCATCTTCTCGATTTCTATCCGGATGCTCGATAGACTCTCACGTCTTATCCGTTGCGACACCAAAACAGATTCGTCTTCACAACATATTTGATTTCTTTATTCCCTATTCGATCTCTACTCAAGAACTAGTTGTTTGGTAACTCAGATTTCACCACTGTTTTGGCATTTGTTTTATAAAAAATTGGTCGGTCTCATGTGTAATTTGGAAGATCGAAAATAGAATAGTATACTGGTTCAGTCATGGTCATCCAAGAGATTAGTCGGTGCACATAAGATGGTTTAGAAACACACGATTACCATTCCTGAAAATGTATTAATTTGATTTACCGGAGATCTTTCTTAATTTGAATTTTTTTCAATATTCACGATAGCCCCAAAATTATAGCATTTTTCTAATAATAAAGAAACAATGATATTACATTACATTATGCGTTGAAATCTCGTAATTTTGGGGAAATACCACTATTAATTGATAATTACCAATTTCCATTAATAAATACATTATATCAAATTGATACTTACCAATTTTGAAATATATATACATATTATTGATTAAACAAAGTTAACCACAAGGTGGTGTTTAATTGGTTTGAGCTTGACTCCAAATGTCAAAAATACTAGTAGGTCTCAGGTTCAAATCCAAGGAGGAAAAAAATCTCCTTGTAGCCACGGAGGTTCAAAAGCAGTGACTCCGAACCATCTGCAAAGCAGATGATCGCCCGACATTAGTCGACTCGTATAGCGGGTTGGATATCCAGGTTAATAAAAAAAAAGTTACAAAGGAAGGAAAGTGCGTCATTTGTGATATGAAAATCATCTTATTTTGAGCATATATCCATTTTGAAAATATATTAATTTATTATAAATATTAATTTTGTCTTATAAATAGAGTTTTTCTTACTTTTTTTTAGCCAAGTCGATCAAGCCATCGATACAAGAAAACATCTGGAAACAATGGTTTCTTTGTCATTCCCTCAAATCTTTGTCTTCTCGGTTATTTCGCTTGTATTGATATCAAATGTTGACGCCTCCGAACCATACGAGCTCGTCAACAAAGTTTGTAGCAAACAAGACAAGGTCGATTTCTGCCTGGAGATTCTAAAGTCTGACGGTAGGAGCAAGTTTGCTAATGACGTACTTACCCTCACAAGGATTGCTGTGGATGTGTCGATACAAAAGTCGACCAAGACAAGAGATTACTTCAAAAGCGTGAAAAGCGGTCCTCCCGGTGTCTTGAAATCTCTGAACGATTGCATTGGTTCGTATGATACTGCGATCAAGATGTTAAGACTTTGTATGTCGGAAGAGGATTGTTCATTGATTAATTATGACATCCATTCTGCCGGAGACGAGGTTAGACGTTGTCAAGTAGCTGCGGATTCCAACGGGGCTCGTGAATCGTTTATAACGTCAAGTAACAACATGACTCAAGATCTTTGTCGGCTTTCTGAATCATTAGCCAACCTTTCATGTAACGATCAACACAAATTTTAGGAAATAGGTTTATATTTGTGAATTTTAATTAATTATTTCTATCTACAAAAGTTTTTGGGATTTATCGTAATTAAAATTTACCAATTTATCAAATCATATTCCATGTTATGCCCCAGGGATTTGGATTTCGTTAATTGAATTTTGCTATTTATAAAAATAATTAACTTATTTTTTATTAATAAATTATTGTAAAACAAATGTTTTTAAAATATTATTAGAAATAAATTTCATGAAATTTTGTAAAATATCAAGGAATTGTGTGAAGTATGAACTTTTAAGCCAACTACTTATTACGTTGTTGTATATCTGATTTGACTCTTACATAATCTATTGAACACCATTAGAAATCGTTTAGTACATTGGACAGGTACAACACAGAACATGACAAGGATTTATGTCTCATGTTTGGCATGAATTTTATGTAGAACAGACAGGAACACAGTGGAACAAAGTGGCCCATGGAACAAGGTGGAACAGACTTATATTTTACCAATATAACCTTAAAATAATATTTAATTCTCTTCTAAAACATCAAATAGGTCTTTTTTTTATATTTTATTTATTTTTTAAATTTTATTTATTATATTTTATGTTTCTTAAACTTTCATTTTACTGTTCTTAAAATATTATTTTTATACGGTTTTTATATTTTTATTGATTTATGTAATTTATTATTATATAATAATAATAATAATAATAATAATAAATAATGTAGAAAAAAGATCAAAATAAAATAGAAAACCATATAAACTTTTTATTTGGTGTCATTATTAATTGTTTTGACCAAAACTTTAAATAATAATATTTTATTATAAAAAATAATTATTCTATTATAATTTTATAAATTACATAAATTAATTAAAATAAATAACTCATCAAAAGTAAATTGATTATTTTACTTGTTCTGTTCTATCCAGTTTTATTTTATCAAACGTTAAATAGTTGTCAATGTCCTGAAACCAAACACACCATGTATGTGTTGAAAAAGTGCTTATTTACAGAAAAAATGGAGCCACCAGTCCACACCATCATCATCATCATAACACACCATTCCATTTCCAATCACACAAATTCAACCCAATACATTCATTCATTCATCAATCAAAATCAACCAACCAACCAACAGTAATTCATTCCCAAAAAAATGGATTCATGGCTCCACAATCTCATTCACCTCAATTTACTTACTGTTGTTGTATCATTTGAGGGTTGGTTTGATGAATTCATAGCAACCACTTCTGGTGAAAAATCCCAACTCGATTGCCGACGTCTCTCTCCTGCAACTGAATCACCATGATTATGCTGCTGCTGCTGCTGCTGCTGTTCACTTCCTCCTCTGCTTCTTATATCTGATTCAATATCTTCAATGTTATGACGTTGTGACATCTTTAACAGGTCCCCTCCGATATCCACATCGTCCTCTACTTTCATACGTCGATCCTCAGGACCCGACTGTGCCTCCTCCTCCCGACAACCCACCCGTTGCACCTCTTCTTGCACAACTGCTCGAAACTTGTTCCGTGATGGTTTTATCTTTGTGCAGAATACTTCTAGAAAATTGTTTACACACCCCCGATTATAAACATTGTACCTGTTGTCTGCTCTGTATCGGAAGTTTTCATACGTCGTCTGAAATCAAATCAATATGATAAATACATACATTAGACATGATTGATTTCACAGTACAAACATGCTTAATTAATTTGCATGTCGTTTACTGACCTGGTTTGAACTTATAAGGTACAGATGAAACCCCGTGAGTCCACCGACAAACCACAGTGAAATAAAACAATAAGCCATCAGAGCTACGGATGCCGGAGATTCTTTCATCGCCTTCCACACTGTGCTCTGATAATCGTTCATCAGAACCTTGATGTAGAAAGCCGACATCGAGAATACATATATGCAAATAAGTGTTGCTGACGACACAAATAAAAAGAAGAACCGATAATTCCGCTGCCCAATAAAAATACAGTGACTGTTAAGTGTTAAAATAATAATCTTGAAATCAGAAAATATCTTTCTGTTGAATATGGGTTCTTCGGCTGAATACAAACAGTAAAGGAAGCAAATTAAGTCGTACCAATCCGATGCATTGGCCTACCCAAGGGCAGTGGTGATCAAACCGCTCCACACAATTGTTACAAACAGAACAATGAGAGCAACGCGGGGGTCGGTAAAGCATGCACGTGTCGCAGTACTTAACCCTAACAGAAATTCCGTTAACCATAACCTCTTTGGTTCTAGGGAACTGTAGGCTTGGTGTTTGTCTTCCACCAATTTCATGTGATGCTGAATTGTCGTATCGTAACTCTTCCTCCGGCGGATGTGAGTTACGAGGAACAATCCCAGGGTCTCGGGATGAAGTAAGAAGAAGCAGCACCAGTACCTATCAAGAATCAACTAAAACGATCACAATGAGCCAGCCACAACATAAAGAAAAACATTTTGTATCCATCTACCATTGTTACATAAAAACATTTCATAATCCATGATACAAATCGACTACAAAATCATTTACATCAATCTAAAAATAGCTGAAATTCCCAAATCCTAGCAACGTACAAGTTCTGATGCATGATCTACAAGTCATCATAGCAGAATTTTTCTAGATTTGGGAATTGTTGCTTCATGAAAAGGGGGTTACCTAAACAAGGGAATAGTTTATATGCGATGAGCATAGATTGCATAAATGTAACAATGAAGGATAAAGAGGACTAACATAGATCGTAAAGATGATTGCTGCCACAATGACTGCATATCCTGCACTGTATGATGAGAACTCATGCCGAAGATGTCTTCCAACAAATATACAAAATGTTATAACTGGAACAATAATCAGCAATACAGTGGCAGGCAGAGACCTGGCGTCTGGGCCAAAAATCAACCTTCCTCCAAGAAAGAACTTCTGGAAAATGATAAGATCAAAAAGAGTAAACGACTGTCCTGACGGCTATATAGATTTATGAAAAAATTGACAAACAAAAAGTGGATGATAATAATATTCAAGTATATTAGCACAAAAAGCTAGTTCCATAGTTCTGATTCAACCTTGTGTTAAGAAATGAAGAAAACTATGCTCCATAATCAATGGTTAGCTTCTATGGCAACAGGTCAGAAAATTGAATGCAAAAAGGTATTGAAATTCAAGTTGAACTGACAAAAAGAGCGGTTGTGTAGATAAAAATCATGCAATCTACAATGACATAAGGTAAGAATTGTCATATATTTACTACAAAAGTTCCTGTAAAGTGATATGGTTAAGAAAATAGTATGCCCCCTTTACTTTACGGCCAGCAGAATACACAAACCAGTACCATAATTTTTAGTCAATTGTTTGGGAGCTCGATAATCCTTTTGTGATCAGAAGGTTGTGGGTCCAACTTATGGAAGCATACTAGTTGTAAAACAGGAAAGGTTACGTACAAAGACATGTCTCCTCATCCCTCACAAACTCAAGGAATCTTCGCGCATGTACTCTGGTCAATTAACATCCCTTTCATCCTGGAAACTGCAACAATTTCCATTGTCCCATGAAAACTGCAACATTTCAAGTCTACCCATTGTCATAGTTATAAGTAGGTGATGATCATGATCTTGGTGAACAGCTTCATCTATTCATTAATACTGAAGGGTATCTTAAACATGGCACTAATAGCCAACCACTCCCCTCAAAATTTTCATCAAATTATCATGTGTAGCCTTATGATCTGAGTCCACTAAAATAAGCTCACATTCTTTCCGAGTTTTTTCTTTGTATTGTTTCAGTGAAATAAACATACAAGTACCACCAAACTTAGTAAGAAAACTCATTTACCACCTCGCTAGCAGAACATATAACAGTGCGACATCTCAATGGAAGATCTGCCATTGTTCTACTTACTTTCTTAAAGTGAACATTGCTTCTAAGTTCAAAAAAATTCATCCAAGTAGCCTGCATTCAAATGACTTCACAAATCGAAACTTCTCACCGATTTGCAATGTCAAATAGCTGTTTCCCATCAATGCATATGATGTTTAAATCTGCCCCCATCGACCATTAAATGTCATTTGAAACCTGATTGAAGAAATGATCTAGTTCTTTATTTGGTGGCACCATGTTTTTCTTCCATGTCACCTCAAAATAAATGAATATTGAGCCTTACCAAATTTGATACTCCAATACCCGCTTTGGAAATACAAGAAACACTATGTTCCGCCTCTAAGTAATAAAGATTCCATTTGTTGATGTCCTCTACCAACCCTTCCAAAGTAAGTCTTGTACAAACTTCTAAGGGCCAACCACAAGAGGGTCTGGACTCTAAAATGGCAAATAAGGAGAACAGCTATGTTGTGGTAAAAACACAAATTTGCATATAGATATATTTTTCTGAAGTAAGGTTGATTGTTTGATCATGTATGAGTAATCAATATTAATAGGATTGGTTGGGAAGAACCAAACATACGAATGGCTGCATGACGGAGTAGCAAGTCAAACCTTGAAAAGAAGTCTGAACATATAGAGAAGAATGTAGCACTTGAGTCCTAGCAACGTAGGATGGAAGGCCTTGGGATGGCTACTGGGACATGTCAGCAGGTGTTTGGCTGAATCTGTCAGTTGTATATGCAGATGTGGGCATGGAGGATTGGAGGTCAACTATTCCTAAAGGAAGCCTGGGAATGGAGGATTGGTGTGGGTAGCAATGACCTTAACCAAAATAAATGAAAGATGAAAAGGCAGTTGTATCAGCAGTCTTACCAAACATCAGAATCCATCTAAAAGTCTGTCCAAAATTAGAGGCCCTTCTATTGAGGGCATGCTGCAGATTACTTCAAGACATGGATGCCCGATGTCAAACAAAGGGCTGGAAACCAACCATGCTATAAGGAGCAGCCTAGTGAAGAAGAAATAGGTGAGGCAAAAATGTTTTAGCAAGAATGAATTAAAGGAAAAGAGAGCTGTTGTGTTTGATCCACTCTGTCATATCCAGGGTTGCTAAAGCAGCCAAAACCTAATAAATCTACAATAAACAAGGCTGCTGCTATCATCAGCAGTGCAGGGCTGAGAAGTGAGAACCAAAGAGTTCCAAGTCAAACGAAAATTACACCAAAGGGGAGAGGTGTAGACTGAAAATCAGGAAAATGCAAGAACGTAATTAGAAGTAGAATCTCAGCTAGGAAGCTTACAGAGAACACAGAGGCCTTAGAGGAAAGTTATGACAACTCCTCTCCCTCACTTGATGAAATTTTCATAGATATGATCAAACCTCACCCTTTATAGCATCATCTCTGAAAATATGAGAACTCCAAGCACAGACAGAGACCAGGTTCATGTTCTAGCATGAAGACATGGAACCATTGGTGATGTTTCCTAAGGTCATGAGATAAAGGTGGGTTTATGTCGTTACAAGGACCTAAAAAGGAGTCAAGCTTATTATACGAGGTCAGGAAAGTTTCTATTCATTTCCACTTTGAGCCTATCATTTATTTCATTTGGCAGGATCATTTGAATAAAAGATCCCTTTATCAATGATAACCTTTAAATTTCTTCGATGAGAGTAGTGTGGTCCAAAAGTCTTCATAGTAATAATTTGAACTATGAATTTCTTGAGCATAAAATTAACCTAGAATTTCTTGGACACCCAGTCTAGTCTAGCCTCCTTTCGAGGCAGTGTTTGGAGTTTCACATTTGGCTAGCCCTATATATATATATATATGAAGTCTCATCTCTCTCTCTCTCTATAAGGTCTCTTTTAGAGAGAGAATCAGGTGCTCCACATACTTTAACAATAAATAATTGTTATTATTGTATATCTTGGATGCATGCATGACAAAAGGATATGAGAAAGTATATTACTTGTCGCCTACACCGCATTATTGTTATATAATTGGTTGGCCTACATAGCACCAACATAGAATACAGGTATGAGAGATGAATCACCTAAATGAGTATAGGGTGAAGTCTTTTGAGATGGCAAACTATCACAACACTCCTACATGGTAGATTGAAATCTTCTGTAAGATGGCAACGAATGGCATTTTCTAAGTGATAGTGCCTAGGTAAAAGTAGATAACACTGAGTTGGGATCAAAAGGACAAGTATTATATTGTATGAAAGGGAATTGATTTAGGTTACAAGCCTGTTATTGATGATATTCATACTTCTTTGTGCAGTGGTATGAACTATGGAGTTATGTGTCAGCACTATTATTCTTATGACACGTCCTCATTTTATCGGCTATTTAGTTGCTTTAATGATTATCTTTTGATACCAATATTTTCCATGTCACTCTCATATAAATATAATCCTACTTTTTGTGGGTAGTTGTTAAGTGGCTCTTAGTTAGAGAGGCTCTGGCAGTCTGCCCTATTAAAACCTAAGATTGATTTAATATTTAATTTGTAAATCATTGCTGTAAATGAGTTGCTAGTTTAGCTCCTTAATAGTCTCCTAATCAAATATTCATTGCTGTAAATGAGTTGCTAGTTTAGCTCCTTAATAGTCTCCTA